AGAAAACAATGAACGGACACTGCCCTCAGGGAGAGGCAGTGTTATATACCTTGGATAATGATCCATCTGCCTTAGGTGGTCTTAGATTGACAGGTGAGAGCCACTAGTGAAGTCCAGCCCCCTATTGCTGCAGGCAATGCCAAATACACAAGGCTAGATCCAAAGTTCTGAAGTGGCTTGGATGCAGGAACAAAGGGTTAGGATGTAGAAGGACCTAGGTTCAAATCCCCTGTGGGGCGACCACATCTGGCTGTCTTGATGGCACGGGGAGAACCGGGACACAATCTTTAAGTTTGGATTCCAATATTGTTGAATGGGTAAGGCAGTGGCTGAGTGACAGGCAACAGAGGGTTGTAGTCAAAGCATGGTCTTGTCACAAGTGGGGTACCTCAGGGATCTGTACTTGGACCCATTCTCTTTAATATTTTAATCTCTCTTTGTTTTTGCATGAATTAAATATCTATAGATGCATCTCCCCCCACTCAGGTTTATTGCAGGCCCATCTGACACTAATATATTTCTCTCCCTCAGCTTGATTTAAAAAAAAAAAAAAACTTACCCTGCCCCAAACTTGCAAGCAACACACAGAGCTCCATCAGCTGTTCCACTGCCTTTTGCAACAGGTAGCCTTCTGGAAGACCGTTTCCCTCCCACCCTACCCCAAACTCATTTCCTCATTTATAGATTGTCTCCCACACAACTTTCACTCTCCTGAAATGACAGGTGCAAACACTGATCAGCACATCCTTCAAATCTCTCAACCCTATATAATAAATAAATAGCCTCTCTCCCTACTAATAGCTATATACCACACACCAATATTATACACTTTTTTTTTTTTTTTAACTATTTGTGTTCCATTTTCATCTACACACCTCATACCACTAACATGAATCCAAATATGGCCATACTGTTATTCTTAATAACCCTTTTCTCACTCCACTTTTGTTCACATCACTACCGCCATAAGCACACACCTCAAACTAGAAAACAAATCATATACCATGGCCTGATCTGTTGCTGTAACTGTTGAGCCCTTCTACCCCCACCTCACAAAGTTATAAAGTATCCCATTCACTATATGGCCAAACAAAAAGTATGTCCATATTTCTATTCTTTGTGGTACTTGCCCTTGCAAACTTATAACTTAACACAGTGTCATACAGTGAACCCAACCGTCCTTGCCAATAAACTGACTTCCTCTTACCTCCCCCTCGTCATAAAAATAACGAAGCAGGGGAGGTTGAGACCTTAAAAACGTGTTCATCTCATTTCATATACTTAAACGTAACCCCTCAAACTCAATTGGCAAGGACATACCCCCGGCTAGCTGTGACTAAATATACTAATAGGGCGGGCAGGAGAGAAGCTGTTTGCTGTGGCACCTCCCCCACACTAATTTACACAGAACATAATCCCACCCACACATTCTTTCCCAAACAATCCCATGCATCTATCCCCCACACACATACATGTGCCCTTGTCCACTTAGCTGCGCCGTCTCCCCAGGGCCTGGTCTTTCAAAAAATGTAATCTTGAATCCTTTTTAAGCGATCTCAAGAGCATACTATTGCACAGATGGAGTCTAATACCAGATCTAGACTCTGCAATTGCCTTTTTTCAGTCTGAGCTCTTGCGTGTTTGGAATTTGCATGCCCCTCTGCGTAAAGTGCGACTAAATGCACACCTGCCCTGGGTTACAGCTGTCCTCATTCAAATTTACCAGTTTAGAGATTCACTGTGATCAAAGTTCAAGCGTACTGGTTCCATGAAGATCAATATACCTACAGACATTGGCGAAATGCATGCAAAAAAAACCAAACAAAAATGGCAAAGGCCCAATACAGGATTTCAGTAAAAAATTTTAACAACCTATCAAACCCAAGAAACCTTTGTAAAATCATAAATAGCATTCAAACCCCCGCAATCCACTCCCAACCCTCCACTGTCAAAATGGACAACCAGACACTGCAATACCCCCCTAGATGTAGCAAATGCCTTTAATAATTATTTTGTTGGATGTGCTACCACCCTGGTTGCTAACATAACAAATGACACTCATTTTCAGACCGCAAATAAAGATCAGGCCCTGCCAAATCTTCAAAATCCTCATATAGAGAAATTCAATTTTAGACCTTTGCCTGTTAGTGTCGTTAATAAAACATCTTAATTTAAAAATGAAAAAAAACAGTGTGGACCAGACCAAATCCCAGCAATGTTGCTGAAGCTCAGTGCGCCAGCAATTGCTAAACCTGTCACTACCCTTATCGATGTCAAGATACATACCCAAACTTTGAAAAACTGCAAAAGTTGTACCTATCCATAAAAGTGGTGACAATACTTTGGGAGCCAACTATTGCCTGATATCATTGCTCCCAGTATTGTAAAAAATCTTTGAAAAATTTGTCCACACGCAACTATGTGAATATAATCAAATTATCTGACCCTGATCAATCAGGCTTTTGTCCAAATCACTAAACTTCGACTGCCCTCTTAAAAGTTTGCAATGACAACCAAATTGGCATGTAAAAGGAGACTTAACTGGAGCTATTTTCCTTAATTTTGTCAAGGCCTTTGGCACAGTAGACCATGGCATTCTTTTGCAAAAACTTAAACTCAGGCAAATGCTAATGCCGGTCATTGATTACGGGGACGTGGTGTATGCAGCCGCACCGCAAACCCACTTTAAGTTATATAATTAGTTCTGTACTAGAATGCAATTACTATACCCACCACTATGACATGTTAAAAGAGCTAAAATGGCTATCGCTGGAATCCCAACTCACTCTTCATCTTTCCAGCCTTGTGCATAAAAGCATTTCTGGGAAGCTCCCACCCTACCCGAGTAGAATGCTCTCACCAGCTGTTCCCACCTCCTATAACTTCGGATCTAACGCCAGCACAATATTTAGTTTACCGCAATACAAAAATAAAGTGGCTCAATCCTCATTTTCCTACAGAAAACCGCAATTATGGAATAATCTTGGGAACATTGTCAAATCTTCATTCAATCTAAACTATTTTAGGAGATCTATGGCAATATACCTCAGCACATAATGCACCTGTCATGGTTGAATATACACACACACACACACACACACACACACACACACACACACTTGCAAGATGGCTGCACTCACGGTCTTTAAATAAAAATTAACTTTTATTCTATCATCTTAAAAACAGGATCAACGTTTCAGTCCTCTTCAAGGACTTTCATTAGGATCATGACATGTCTCTCATATATATATATATATATATATATATATATATATATATATATATATATACATACACACACACACACACACACACACACACACACACACACATACACACATATATACATACACACACATTTTGTAGATTGAATTTTTGTAATATTGTATTGTAATATTGTATCCTATTGTAACAATGCAACATTTTGCGGACCCAGGACATACTTGAAAACAAAAGAAATCTCAATGTATCCATCCTGGTAAAATATTTTTACTAGTGATATTGCAGAAGTTCTTGATGGTAAGGTATGTCTTTTTGCTGATGATACTAAGATATGTAACAGGGTTGATGTCCCAGGAGGGATAAGCCAAATTATTTAGGTAAACAGCTCACCATGGGAGCAGGGGGAGCCAGGCGGCCGGCACAGCTCACACATGGCTGGCCGGGATCATACAAATAATAAAAAAAAATTAAATAATATTGAGGTGGGGCGGAGCTTAGTGCGCGAGTTGGCTGGGCTTAGTGTGCAGCGGGGGCCCTGGCTAATGCAGCATGGGAAGCAGTCCCTGCTTCCCCAACAACCAGCCTCCAGGAGCTCCAAGGGATGTGGAGGTAAGAAGCAGGTCAGTGTGGCGGTCTGCCTGCGTGTGTGTGAGTGAGTGAGAGACACTGCCTGCGTGTGGCTGTCTGCCTGTCTCTGGATGTGTGGAGGTTTGCCTCGGTGTGTGTGGATGTCTTTGTGTGTGTGCGCGCGCATCTGCTAGTGAGTGAGCGAGCTTGTGTGTGTGTGTGTGTGTGTGTGTGTGCGCGCGCATCTGCTACTGAGGGAGCCTCTGTGTGTGTGCCTGCTAGTGAGTGAGCTTGTATGTGTATCAGTGAGCTTGTCTGTAGGGATCATATGTGTGTGTGCGCGCGTTAGTGACCTTGTCTGTAAGGAGCATGGGTGTGTCGGAGTCTGTCTGTGGTGAGCATGTGTGTACAGTGAGCTTGTCTGTAGTAAGCATGAATGTGATCGTGAGCTTGTCTGTAGTGACCATATGTGTGTCAGTGAGCATGTGTGTGTGTCAGTGAGCTTGTCTGTAGTGAATCTGTGTGTTAGTGAGCTCTTCTGTAGGGAGCATGTGTGAGTCAATGAGCTTGTCTGTAGGGAGTGTGCGCATCAGTGAGCGTGTGTGTGTGACAGTGAGCTTGTCTGTAGTAAGCTTGTGTGTATCAGATTTTGTCTGTACTAAATTTGTGTGTGTGCCAGTAACCTTCTCTGTGTGTGTCATTGAGATTGTCTGTGTCTGAGTATGCTTTATTGTATAATTTAAATACCCTGAATATATATATATATATATATATATATATATATATATATATATATATATATATATATATATATATATATATATATATATATATATATATATATATTTTTTTTATTATAATATAAATATAAAAATCTGTTGTACATTGCACTCAAGCTTCAAAGTTGTGTGACCGGGTGCATCACCAGGGCTCCAGTATCCAGGCAATTGAAATAGTTGGCTGCACTCTCGGATTTCCTTAAAACTTAACATTTAAATATTTAAGAGAAGATCAATGTTTCATTCCCTCTTGTGGACTTTCATCATGACCCTATACACACACACACACACAGACTTATGGGGCTGGCATAGATTTTTTTTTTTTTTCAGGGCTGCTTCGTATCCCCAGTCATCCCGGTCCACCCACTCTCTGGGAATGCTCACTCCGGGGGCACAACTCAGACCAAAACGGTCCCACAAGGCAAAGCCAAGATGGCCGACGGCCGTGATGCTGACTCAAAACAACAAACAGTCGATAGCTGGGCAGCGACTATCCGGGCTAAATTCAACGCTGTTTGCCAGAAGTGGTGGGAGCAATTAGTGGAGAAGAATCTACCTCCTGCTCCGACACCAGCCACAATGGCATCGCATCAACGAGCACCCCTGCGAGCCCAGCCGAGATGCCCAAACAAAAGCAGTTATACCACAGGAGCGGTTAAGCGGCACATAGAAAGAAGCGACAAAGGAGCAACAGATGCTCCAGCAGCACCCAAGCAACGGCAACAAAGCCACACACGAGAGAATTCCAAGGACACCCCCCAACCCAGCAGAGACACTGAAATCCCAAGGGGTTGAGGGTCACAGCCAACTACCATGCACCCAGCCAACAACAGCTCCTCACCACAGCCCGGAGCAGAGACAGCACAACTGAATAATTGTCACGGTAGTTTACCCCTACACGCAAGATTTAGTTCAACAATCGACAGAGCAGATACGACTTACCGGACCTTACAATCGCCGTATAGCAGAGAATAGACAGTCAAGAACAAGCCGAGGTCAAGGGAACAAAGAGACGGCGAGAACAAAAACTAGCCAAGGTCTGGTACACAGTAGTCATTAAGCTGGCAAACAAGACAAAACAGGGATAGAGAGATAAACGGAGTCAGATACAAAGCCAAGGTCAAGCACGAAAATCACAACAAGCGCTAAAGGGAACTGAAACAGATAGGGCAGGGAGTTAAGGGAGAGGGAAGTATAAATACCCTAAACTTTACTTTGATTGGCCTCTGTCATATCCACGCCCCCAAAATGTGAGTGTCTGGGGAATGTGGGTTGACAGGGGCCAATGGGAGCACATTTCATCTTTTGGCTCCCACTGCCCCTTTAAGAGCGTGCCTGAGACGCGCGGCAAGCTCTTAGAGCTAGGCGGGACACGTGACCGCATCTCGCGGTCCGTGCCCCCCTTCATTCGAGAGCCATGCGTGGCGGGAACTGAGAACCTCGGCTGGCCCCCGGGTAAGGTAAGTACCGCTACAATAATCCCTGCATGCACAACTGCCAGCACCTACCAAAGAGCAGCAAAAGGGCGCAGGGGGCTACCCTATTCTCCTCCGTATATATTAAGGAAGAACCCATGGCAATAGATGTGCAAATGATTGCTACTAAAAACTTGCAGAATAATTGTAATTGGTTAACTCAAGTCAAGGTGCTGCAGCAACTAAAGAAAGTTAATATAAACAAAGCTCCAGGGCCTGCCGGTATCCATCCACATGTACTTAAGGAACTAAGTGTAGAAATAAGTGAACATCTGTTTTTAATCTTTCAAGATTCTTTTCTTTCAGGAAGTGTTCCATAGGATTGGAGGAAGGCAGATGTGGTTCCTATATTTAAAAAGGGTTCAAAATCCTTGCCTGGATATTATAGTCCTGTGAGCTTAACTTCTGTGGCTGGGAAAATATTTGAAAAAGGTTATTAAGGGATAATATTCAAAAATTCCTTGAGAAGAATGTGGCTATCAGCAAAAATCAGCATGGTTTTATGAAGCACAGGTCATGTCAAACTAACTTGATTGTGTTCTATGAAGAAGTAGGTAGAAGTATAGATCAGGGTGTTGCAGTGGATGTGATCTATTTGGATTTTGCCAAGGCATTTGATACAGTTCCACACAATAGATTAGTGTTCAAACTCAAGGAAATCGGTCTAGATGAAAATGCTTGTTCTTGGGTAGAACATTGGCTTAAAAACAGAGTACAAAGAGTTGTCATTAATGGTAAATTTTCAAGCTGGACAGAGGTGGCAAGTGGTATCCCTCAGGGGTCTATTCTGGGACCCCTTCTATTAAACATATTTATAAATGATCTTGAAGACAGCATTGAAAGTCATGTTTCAGTGTTTGCAGATGACACAAAACTCTGTAAAATAACACAATGTGAGCAAGATATTACTTTGCTTCAGAGGGATTTAGATAGACTGGGGGACTGGGCACTCAAATGGCAGATAAAATTTAATGTTGAAAAATGCAAAGTTATGCACTTCAGCGTAAAGAATACACAAGCAACGATACCCTTAATGGAAGCGAATTAGGGATAACAACATATGAAAAGGACTTGGGAATTGTTATAGACTACAAACTATGCAACAATGTGCAATGTCAATCAGCAGTGGCCAAGGCCAGTAAGGTATTGCCATGCATGAAAAAGGGCATTCATTCTCGGGACGAGCATATCATTTTGCCTCTTTATAAATCACTGGTAAGACCACATGAATTTTGGGCACCTGTTCTAAAGAAGGATATTATGGCACTAGAAAAAGTGCAGAGGCGGGCTACAAAATTAATAAAAGGAATGGAACATATCAGCTATGAAGAAAGGTTAACAAATGTAAACCTCTTTAGTTTAGAAAAACGTCGCCTGAGAGGGGATATGATCACATTATACAAATATATTCGGGGCCAATACAAACCATTGTGTGGAAATCTATTCACAAACGGGACTTTACATAGGACACGAGGCCATGCGCTTAGACTGGAAGAAAGAAGATTTTGTCTAAGGCAAAGGAAAGGTTTTTTTTTACTGTAAGAACAATCAGGATGTGGAATGCTCTGCCTGAAGAAGTGGTTTTATCAGAGTCCATACATATGTTCAAACAGATACTAGATGCATACCTGCAAAAACAGAATAGTCAAGGATATAATCTTTCAATGTAGGGTAATAACTGCTTGATCGAAGGATAAATCTGAATGCCATTCTGGGGTCAAGAAGGAATTTTTTTCCTAGCCTGTTGCAAAATTGTGCTTCAAACTGGGTTTTTGGATCAACAGCAAAAAACAAATGTGAGGAAGGCTGAACTTGATGGACGCAAGTCTCTTTTCAGCTATGTAACTATGTACCCTATCAGGCCAAAGAAGGGACTATTTGCGCCAGCACATCAGCGGCATCGAGTGAAGACCTGCTGTAATGAGGACTCTCTTTGCTGCTGCTGAACACGGTTCTCATTCACCGTTTTCCCATCTCTGCCTCAATTTTGCAGTTTTTATTGTCAGTCTATACTTAAATCACAAAGTCCAATGCCCAGTTGTTATTAGTTATGTGTACTATCATATGACATTCTATTCTGCATGCTAGATGTTTAATAATGTGAATATCCAAGAAACGATGTCATTACCTGCCTGAATGCCTTACAATCTACTTGTTTATCATTTGTTTAATATCAACATGCATGTCACTCCAACTTGTTGTAAGCCTTATACTCACCAACCCACTCATGTCTATGTAGCTCACACCAACAACATCTTTCGTTTTGCTATACACCCTGTTCCAAATTATTATGCAAATTCTATTTAAGTGTCACAAAGATTAAATATTTTGTTTTTCAGTTTAACTCATCGATGGCATTGTGTCTCAGGGCTCTTTTGATCACTGAAAACAATCTCGGACACCTGTGATAATTAGATTTAAGGAAAAACTACTAAAGGAGGGCGTTCCACATTATTAAGCAGAGCACCATGTTCATGCAATATGGGGAAAAAAAGAGGATCTCTCTGCTGCCGAAAAGAGTGAAATAGTTCAATACCTTGGACGTGGTATGAAAACATTAGATATTTCATGAAAACTTAAAGCGTCATCATCACACGAATAAGAGATTTGTGGCTGATTCAGAGCACAGACCGGTTCGTGCAGATAAAGGCACATTGAGCAAGATTTCTGCCAGATCCATGCATCAGATCAAGAGAGCAGCTGCTAAAATACCATTATATAGCAGCAAACAGATATTTGAAGCTGCTGGTGCCTCTGGAGTCCCATGGACATCAAGGTGTAGAGTCCTCCATAGCATAAACCTTCTATTCGGCCACCACTAACCAATGCTCACAAGAAGAAAGGGGTGCATTGGGCAGAAAAATACATGAAGATATTTTTATAACAGTCCTGTTCACTGAGGAGGGCCGTGCAACCCTGAATGGTCCAGATGGATGGAGTAGTGGATGGTTGGTGGACGGCCACCCTGTTCCAACAAGACTGTGACGTCAGCAAGGCGGTGGTGGAGTCATGTTTTGGGCCAGAATCATGGGAAGAGAGCTGGTCGGCCCCTTTAGGGTCCCCGAGGGTGTAACGATGACCTCTGCAAAGTATGTCGAGTTTCTGACTGACCACTTTCTTCCCTGGTACAGAAGGAAGAACTATGCTTTCCATAATAAAATCTTCATGTATGACAATGCACCATCTCATGCTGCAAAGAATAACTCTGCATCAATGGCTGCTATGGGGATAAAAGGAGAGAAAGTTATGGTGTGGCCTCCATCCTCCCCTGACCTCAATCCTATTGAGAACCTTTGAAGCATCTTCAAGTAAAAGATCTGAGGGTGGGAGGCAGTTTACATCCAAACATCAGCTCTTGGAGGCTATTCTGACATTTTGCAAACAAATTCAAGCAGAGCCTGACCAAAAACTCACAAGTTCAATGGATGCAAGACTTGTGAAGCTCCTATCAAATAAGGGGTCCTATGTTAAAATGTAACGTGACCTGTTAAAATGTTTAAAAAGTTAAAATGTTGTTAGAAGTTAGATTGCAATAGCTTTTCACTTCAGTAAATATGCTGCAAACCCAACAAATGACAATTTTCAGTTCTTTACAACCTATAAAGTGTTTTGAAACTTTGAAACTGTGTGTAATAATTTGGAACAGTGCATTGTAGGTTTCTAAATTTAAAAAAAATACTGTTATCATTAGGAGGTTTGTTCAATAAAATTTGAATTGTACTCTTCATAGTTGATAACATGAGAATTATGCTGCCTGTTATTTACTTCAATTATTTAGGTAAATGAGAAATATAATTTGCATAATAATTTGGAACAGGGTGTATATCTTAGACATGTTTGACTACCATGTGACCTAGCTATAAAAAAAAAAAAAAAAAAAAAAAAAAAAAAAAAAAAAAAAAAAAAAAAAAAGGTACAGTGACATGTAATGCCTTATACTTGTTCATGTATGTATTCTGCCAATCTTGTACTTGCTGTTGGGGCATTGCAAGAGCTTGTGTAAACTATTTGCACCAAAAAAATAAAGAATTTAAAAAAAATAAATAATAATATCCGGAAGTATTACTTTACTGAGAGGGTAGTGGATGCATGGAATAGCCTTCCAGCTGAAGTGGTAGAGGTTAACACAATAAAGGAGTTTAAGCATGCGTGAGATAGGCATAAGGCTATCCTAACTATAAGATAAGGCCAGGGACTAATGAAAGTATTTAGAAAATTGGGGAGACTAGATGGGCCACATGGTTCTTATCTGCCGTCACATTCTATGTTCTATGTTACTAGATACGATTTCTTTATTAATCTTATAAGAAGAAAAGATCCTATATCTTTTATATTCATTAAACTCTTTAAGAACATTTCTTCATATGATATTTTTTATATTTAAAATATTTTTCTTAATTTAGATAAGGAATTATATATAATGAGAGGTTTTACTATGTTTAAGGATGGATTTTTTTAATCTGATTTTTTTTTTTTTTTTTAAATGACTTTTTAAGAAATGAGCTCTGTATATAATACTGGTTTCGTATTTATATATTTTTCTCTCACTCTCTCCAGAAATTAGGAGATTTATAAATTTTGATGTATTTTTTTTTTTTTTTATAAGGTTAACGGAATAAAGTTATTATGTACTGTATATTAGCAGGTTTTATATATATAGATTTAATGCTCAATGAACTGTGGGGCTGAACGATATTATTATTATAGCCATTTATATAGCGCCAACAGATTCCGTAGCGCTTTACAAAATTTTGAGAGGGGGGATGGAACAAAAAAATAGGACTATTACAAGAAAACTTACAGGAACAATAGGTTGAAGAGGACCCTGGTCAAACGAGCTTACATACTATTGGAGGTGGGGTATTAGAAACATTAGGACAGGAAATATAAAGTAGGAGTGAAGCAGAGCTGGAGGACAGAGCAAAGCACTGTCCCATAGGAGAGAGCAGGAGACAGGTATGTGAGGTAGAGATTACTCTGGGAGGCCATAAGCTTTCCTGAAGAGATGGGTTTTAAGGCCCTTCTTAAATGATTGAAGACTAGGTGAGAGTCTGATGGCAGTAGGCAAGCTATTCCATAGGAGAGGAGCCGTCCGCGAGAGGTCCTGCAAGCGCGAGTTGGCCGTACGGGTCCGAGCAGCAGTCAGGAGGTGGTCACGGGCAGAGCGGAGGGTACCAGGAGGGGCATATCTATGGATTAGTGAAGAGATATAAGAGGGGCTAGAATTGTTCAGTGCTTTAAATGTATGGGTTAGCAATTTGAATTGACTCCTATAGCATACAGGGAGCCAATGTAAGGACTGGCAGAGGGGTGAGGTGTGAGAGGACCGACTAGAGAGGAAAATCAGTCTAGCGGCAGCATTCATTACAGACTGTAGCGGGGAAATACGGCATTTGGGGAGACCAATCAGGAGAGGGTTACAGTAATCCATGCGGGAAGTTACTAGAGCATGGACAAGCTCCTTGGTAGCATCTTGCGTAAGAAATGGGCGGATGCGGGCTATGTTTTTGAGTTGGAACCTACAGGACTTGGCAACAAACTGGAAGGGAGACTCAAAGGTGAAACCAGAGTCAAGTATGACGCCAAGACAGCGTGCTTGCAGGGATGGACTTATGTGGATATCACTGACTTGAAGGGAGAGCGAGAGAGGAGGATCAGTATTAGGAGGAGGAAAGACAAGGAATTCAGTTTTCGAGAGGTTAAGTTTCAGAAAGCGTGAGGACATCCAGTCAGAGATGGAAGAAAGGCAAGCAGTGACACGTTGCAGGACAGCAGGGGAGAGGTCCGGGAGGAGAGGTATATCTGAGTGTCATCAGCGTACAGGTGGTAATGGAATCCAAAAGAGGTAATAAGTTTGCCAAGAGAGGCAGTATAAAGAGAAAATTGAAGGGGACCAAGGACAGACCCTTGGGGAACTCCAACCGAGACAGGACGAGGGGAGGAGGTATCCTTGGAAAAGGAGCGTTGGGAGAGATAGGAGGAAAAACAAGAGAGGACAGAGTCACAGATACCGAGCGATTGAAGAGTTTGAAGGAGGAGAGCATGATCAACGGTGTCAAAGGCAGCAGAGAGGTCAAGGAGAATTAATATGGAGTAGTGACCTTTGGATTTAGCGGCGATTAGGTCATTAGTCACTTTGATAAGAGCAGTCTCAGTAGAGTGGAGAGGGCAGAAGCCAGACTGAAGAGGGTCAAGGAGAGAGTTAATTAAGGAAGCGAGACACACGGGTAAAGACAAGTCTTTCCAAGAGCTTTGATGAGAAAGGGAGCAGGGATATGGCGTGATAGTTAGAAGGGGAGGATGGGTCAAGAGATGGTTTTTTTCAGGATAGGTATTACAGTGGCATGTTTAAGGTCAGCAGGAACAGTGCCAGAAGAGAGAGAGAGCAGTTAAAGATGTGTGTTAGGGTAGGCACAAGACAAGGGGAGAGAGATCTGATGAGGTGAGATGGGACAGGATCGAGCGGGCAAGTGGTGGGGCGAGAGGAATGGAGAAGCGCAGCCACTTCTTGTTCAGTAGAAACATAGAATGTGACGGCAGATAAGAACCATTCGGCCCATCTAGTCTGCCCAATTTTCTAAATACTTTCATTAGTCCCTGGCCTTATCTTATAGACTCCTCTACCCATATTCTAATTTTAGAAAAGTCTGCTTTTCTAAAGTCTAAAACTTTTGTTTTTGTGTGGTGTGACTCAGTCACTGTTCTTATATTAAACCACACTGGCTGATGATCACTGGATCCTAAACTTCCACCTACAGTAATATCTGATACCAAATCTCCATTTGTTAACACTAAATCTAGTATAGCCTCTTTACGAGTTGGCTCCTCAACAACTTGTTTCAGAGACAATCCCAGTAGGGAGTTTAGAATATGTGTGCTCCTGGCACAAGTAGCTAATTTTGTTTTCCAATTTACATCAGGAAGATTAAAGTCACCCATGATGATAACTTCCCCCTTCATTGTCATTTTAGCTATTTCCTCAACTAGTAGATTATCTAACTCTTCCATTTGTCCTGGGGGCCTATAAATCACACCTACACGAGTTACTGTGTGATTACCAAATTCTAACGTAACCCAAACGGACTCTATGTTCGCATCACTAACTTTTATTAGGCTAGATTTTATGCTATCCTTCACATACAAGGCCACCACTCCCCCTTTCTTGCCTTCCCTATCTTTCCTATATAAAGTAGCCAGGTAGAAAGTGTGGAGGGTAGGAAAAGAAAGATTTACATGTGGTTGAGAAAGAGAACGGCAAGGAGGGGAGAATTGTTTCCTTAGCTGTTCAATCTTGTCGGTAAAGTAGCATGCAAAGCTATCAGCTGTAAGGTTAGTTTGGGGGGTGGCCACAGCAGGGCGGAGAAGGGAATTAAAAGGTGTCAAAGAGACTTCTGGGATTGCGGGAGCATGAACTAATGAGAGAGGAAAAGTATGACTGTTTGGCGAGGGCGAGGGCTGCGCTGTATGAATGCAACATGAATCTATAATGGAGGAAGTCTGCCTGGGTGCGGGACTTCCTCCAGGAGCGTTCAGCACAATGGGAGCAACTCTTCAGATAGCGTGTTGATTTATTATGCCAAGGTTGGGGTCGTGTCCTCCTCGAGGTGCATGTTTGGAGTGGGGCTGCAGCGTTCAAGGCAGAGGTGAGGGTAGTGTTATATGTGGAGGTGGCCAGTAAGGGACAGGAGAGGGAAGGGATGGATAGCAGTTGTGAATCAATGTCAGCTGCTGGAGGTCAATAGAGTTAAGGTTCCTCCTTAGCTGAGGGGGGTTAGGCTGAGATTGTTGGGTGAGGGGGTAATTGAGAGCAAACGATAAGTGGTGGTGATCAGAGAGAGGAAATGGAGTGTTGCAGATATTAGATACTGTACATGAATAAGAGAAAATAAGGTCGAGGGTATTGCCAGCTACATGAGTGGGAGAATTAGCCCACTGCAAAAGTCCAAGGGAGGAAGTAATTGAAAGTAGTTTAGAGGCTGCTGGGGTTATAACTTGCCCCTTCACTACCTTAGAGAAACAGACTTATTTCCGATTTAAAGATGGTGTATGCCACTTCAGTTGGAAGAGGGCGGTAAAAAGGACCGACGTCTGATGACTGCACTGTGTCTCTGATGTCACCGTGATGACGTCTCACGCACATAGCGCGAATATCAATTTCCTGATGACTGGACTTGAAAGGAAGGGACGCAGGGAAAGATCATATGCACCAAGAAGAAGACCACAAAAGGTTGAAACGCGTTGTGCTTGGACTTTTAACACAATTTATTTACATTTGCTTATGCAC